AGACTGGGAACTATAAAATGAGAATGTCTGGGTGTTCGCCAAACTTTACAGCGTTATTCAAGTAAATTCTGAACATGGAATCCATGTTACTGGTTAATTATGCATTTAATTCCTTATAAAATAAAGAAATGGCTACTGAACAAAATCATTTGGTGTTTCAATATTGTAAAATTTTTTTGTCACCAATAATCAAAGAAAATAAGGTACAGTAGCCTGCAAAAGATGACAGACTACTGACAGTATGGGCCACCTACCCACTGTTATGGACACTTTTTTGTTCATAACAATGTAAAAAATGTAAGTATAAAAATTGCATGAATCTGCAGGTAGTCTTTGGCTCATCTAGGTAGGTAAAATTTTTACTAATATATATAAAAGACAGTTATGAACTTGTATCCCATTAAGGAAGAGGAAACAAATTTCTTGAGCTTTAATGAAACAACAGTTACATGTACATACCCCTCATTTCTAAGACTTATATGTACCTGTAATGCTCTCTAGAGTTTTTTTGGGGAAAAAAAAAAAAAAACCCAATGTATTCACTCACTGTAGAGCTGGGTCTAAGTTTCTCTCTCTACAAGCCTCCAGGATTCTGTTGAGTTCAGTGAAAGGTTCTCTTCGTGAATCATCAATCTGCAGATTGGCTTCCTGTTGTAAGTGTTAACAAACTCAGATTGTAATATTTATTACAGTGTAGCAAATATGGCTGAGAATGTTTAAATTGCCTTAATTGTATACGTTTTATATGCTAGTTAGAAAACAAACTTGAAAATCAAAATTGATGAATAGCACATATATATCAAATTTGGAAATTTTTGCAAAGATGTTAACTTTGCTTAAAGATACTTAACCTAGGCTTAGCTATGAAGAGAGAGATTGAAAAGTCCATTGAACACTTATCATATAACCTTTTATAAAAAGGCTGCATTTGCTGCGAATATCGACGAAGACCTTTTTGTAAGCTAATGCTTCAATGGGTGAGTGATTGTTTGAGAAGCAATTGGTGGCTCAACTATTGTTTACAATCTGATAGGAAACATGAGCTGTGGGAACAGCTAAAATTCATTGGCTGATTGATTTAATTCAATTATCTTATGTGAGCATTAGTAGAAGCTGAATCAACCAGTAATGAACAATTCTGAAGACTAGCATGAAGGAAGTGGAATTCATTGCTGCATATATTTAATTTCACCCAGTAAAACAAAGAAAGCAACAAAAAACGAAAGACTTGCAATCACAAAATTTACATCCAGCACTTCGAGGCAGGGGAGTGAGAGGTTTGTTTCCAATTGCAAGCAGAAGAAAACTCTGTAAACAAAGATCATGCCATTGCAATTCAAATACTTTAAGGAACTGTGAGTCAAAGAAGGATGCATGAATGGAAAACAATAGAATCTGGCTTGGCAAGGCAAATATAGTAGCCTCAAAATTTGAGAACAAGTGTATACAGAAATTTGATGCACACAGGATATTATCTATATTATTTTTGCTGACTGCCTGTTGAAAGTGTTTAGCATTAGCAATGTTGGATGGTTGCCACCATTCTTGATCTTTCTGTGACCTTTTGAAAGCTTTCAAACAAACTCAACAAGTGAGACCTGAAATGACTAGAGATCTTTTAGATTTATTTCAGACAACTTTTACCTTTATAAACAAGTTTTGAGTAAAAACTACTGACATTGTCTTATCACAGCGTATACCACATCTCCAGGCAAAATAAGATTTTCAGTTTACGAGAACATACATTGCATTGACTCAAGTTTCAGTAACCAGTAACCATATGCCCTTTTGGAGGACATTTTGTGTGAATCTCAGGCAGCAGGTTTGCAAGTCAACAAATGGAGGATTTTGATTACAAAATAAACAATCAGTTAAACAATTTTTACAAAGGACACTAAAATCTAATGATCATTTACCAAAGTTAAACATAGAAAACTCTGTTTGAAGCCATTTTATTCCGAATGGAACTAATGGGCTAATGAGAGCAAAATTGTTTTTCATATAACTGGTACTCTCCAGCAATGCTTTATGGAGGTAGCAAGCTACTTCAAATCTTATTGAAAGCACTGTACAGCAGTGGCGGATCCAGACCTTGAGCTAAGGGGAGAACCCAGTTTTTTTTGTCACTTGCCCTGCTAGTTTTTCTTCCTTCTATGATTCTTTTTTTTTTTTTTTTTTTAACCCAGAACAAGGGGGGTCCTAGGCCCCTCTCCTGGATCCACCACTGCTGTATGGTATGAGAAAAATCTTAAAAAAATAAAATTAATAGCCATATCATTTAACACATCCTGGACAGGCTGACAGCTAAGATAATAAAAACACATGTATACTATTCCTATACACCCAGCAAGAGACACTTTTTAACTAAAACCTATCACCTGTGGGTAACAAAGAAGTTGAAACCTAAAAATAGTGTTATCCTACAGGTAAAAAAGAATCAACAGAATCAGATCATGGATTTTAGCAGATTAAATCCTTACCTTTATTAACTCTTCAGCAATGTCTAATCTCCCTTGTCGCAAGAGATGTTCACATAAAACTTCATTCAGCAGAGATGCATTTTCACCATCAAACACCCCTGGTTGACTACATGTTGTGTTATCTATCACAAAATTCTGGAAAGCAACAATCAATAATACATATTAATGCAACCTTTTCTGCATTTATGGCATTGATAAAAACTTTGAAAGAACTCAGTTAGCACTTGCGCCATGGCACACAATTAGGACTTTCTTTCATTATTATTGTTCAATTTCAGGCATGAAAGAACTCATAAGGATCTCAAGGCCAATAAAGCAAAGTAAATATCGCCAATGACTATATCCGCTTCAGACGCAAAAGAGCTATTGTTTGACAACAACACTGTAAAGACTCATCATGTCAATCACTCAGATTTTTTAAATTAATTAAATTTAGAAAAGATCTTTAGTAAAAAGCAATTCTTTTTATTTGCCACAAAGTTTATAAGGATCTCAATAAACTTTGTTGCAAATAAAAAGAATTGCTTTTTACTAAAGATCTTGTCTAGAAAGCCAAGTTTTCTCTAAAAAATCTGAGCGATTGACATGATGAGTCTTTACGGTGTTGTTGTCACACAACTCATTTGCGTCTACAGCCAATTTTGTTCATTAGCAATGTTTACTTTGCTTTATTCGCCTTGAGATCCTTATAAACTTTGTTGCAAATAAAAAGAATTGCTTTTTACTAAAGATCTTGTCTAAAAAGCCAAGTTTTTTAAAAAAAATCTGAGCGATTGACATGATGAGTCTTTACGGTGTTGTTGTTGCACAATTATAAACTTGTTCGCGTCTTAAGCTGTTATAGTCATTAGTGATGTTCACCAATGTTCACCAGTGTTTTTTTACTAAATATTGTTTACTTTTCTGTATGTTTAACTTCTAATAAGTTTAATGGATTGAGGACCAACTCGCCAATGTCTCTACCCGATTGTATACGTCGGCGAGTTGGACCGTCGGCGAGTTGACTGGATACCTCCTCTGGTATACATGTGCAAATAACAACAAGCCAGTAGAAATTTACAAACTAAAAAGACAAAAAATATTTTAACTTAAATAGAACACATATTGTCCCAGCCAGGCCTTGAAACAGCCCCAACTTTCTCCTCTCATACAACATATTATGGCTTACTCTATCAACAGCTTTTCCTATCTTTGAGATCCCACCATGCAGTTCTTTGTGCTCTGTGGCTAGTTTTGAAACTGTGTCTTTAATCTTCCTGGAAGACTGGTTAAGGAGGTGTAGCTGTAATGGGGATACTTCATCATCTTTACTCACTACATATACAAATGAAAAAAAGGTAAAACTTGGACCAAAATCAAATGAAACAAATGAATTCAATCCATGAACTGAAAATAAAAATGTTTCCATTTGAATGACAGCAATTTAGAAATAAATTGAGATTAACAACAATTCCCAAAATTCATTCTAAATTTCACAAAATATAATTGATTTCTAGTTAAAATTATCTGTTAAATTATAAATTGAAACAACTTATAGCGAAAGAAAATCAGAAAATCGTGCATTTGTAAAGAGCGTAAACTGTTTTGGTTTCCGTACAATTTTACGTAATGCTAAAAGAATTGAAATGTGCGTAAGGGTAGAATTAACTATAAATGTACAGCTTAATAAAAAATAACGCTTCTTATACATATGTAAATTATGAAGAGATACATTTTCCTGTACAATCCCAGTAATTAAAATAAGATACTCAAATGATACTGGCGATTATCGGTATGTAAAAACGAGTTTGGAGAGAAATCTCTAGTAGAAATAAAATCTTAAATGTAGCTTCTTTCTCACTTTTCGATAACTCCTCTTGAACATTTGAAATCTGGTTGCTTAATTCTGCCAACGAAGTATCTGTATGTTCCTTTATGTTGTTGTATTTTTGCGACAACCTTTCCAATTCTCTCTCGACGCTTAAGCAAGCGTCCATTTTGTTTTCTGTATCATTAATAGCCAAGTAACCGCGCCTCAGTTTGCAGTTTGCAATACCTGACGGGACAACGTCATTTCCCTGTTGCACTTGTCGCCATCTTGCTGTTAAGGATTATTTGAACTTGCAAAGGACTTTCTTTAAAAATCTCATCCAACAGAAGGCTCAAACGATGGGATGCGATGGCGGTACGATTCCCAGGAGAGATGAACTCGTTAGGATGAAGAAAAAGCCTGAGCAAGTTGAGAAGAATTATGAATTAAACGCAAAATGGTTCCATTGTGCTCTGAGTCAGGCCGAGTTACGGGAACCAGTTGTATGTTGTGAACTGGGAAACTTGTACAACAAAGAAGCGGTGCTGGAATATCTGATCGACAAATCATCTGTAACTTCAGATGTCGCCAGCCACATTAGGAGTCTGAAAGACGTAAAAGAGCTAAACCTCTCTCACAACCCAGCCTTCGAACAGAAGTCCACGGAACAAGCCGATAGCTACTTAGATTTTCAAGCATCACGTTTTATCTGTCCTGTCGTTGGTATCGAGATGAACGGGAGATACAAGTTTTGCTTTCTGTGGAAGTGTGGCTGTGTGTTCTCCGAGCGAGCCCTGAAGGAGGTCCCGTCTACTGTTTGCAACAAGTGTGGAAAAGCTTCCTCTGATGACGATATTGTTGTTATCAACGGTAGTGAAGATGAGGTTAGTGGTATGAGGGCGAAAATGGAGGAAAAGCGCCAAAAGGCGAAATTGGAGAAGAAAGCAAAGAAGACAAAGATCTCCGAGACCACAACTTCGGCAAATGAAGAATCTTCAGGGACCAGTGTGAATGGTGAGAGTCAAAAGGATGGCCCAGGAAAGCCAGCAAAGAGAGCTAAAACCGAGCATGAGCCCTCATCGTCAACTGACTGGAAAACTAAGGGGCCGAAGCTCAATGGGGCATCTTTGTCAAAGGGAAAGCTTCCTGAACTGTCAAAACATAAGACTGTGGCTGAAGACCCGAAGGCAAGCAAAGTTTTTAAATCTCTCTTTGCTTCGAGCAACAAGGACCGACCTAAACACCTACAGTCAAACTGGGTGACTTATCATTCCTATCATATTTAGTTATGTGCATCTTGTTCACTTGCCAAACAGCATGAAGTTAAGTCTATATTTGCATGTAATTTTTTTTCCTATCAGTATGGAATCAACTCTACAGCAGTATTTAGTAAACCCCATGTAGACTTGGCTATTCATTAATCATACCTTTCATTTTTTCTCCTCATGATCTTATTTTATGAAACAACATACAATTTAGTGACCTTAAGTAGGCATGAAGGGTCTAATACTCTAAGCCACTGAAATGTTTCTCCTTTAGCTTTGCTATTTCCTCAGCTAAGTAAGGTTTGATTTCCCAGTTTAAGGTACATGTACCATCAGAGCCATCTATAAGAGCCAGCAGCTAGCCAAAACCACTGCTTAGTTTGCAATCCTTATGTGGTTACTTTCACCACATATTACCATATTTACTGATGAGAAGTAGTATAATTGTTGAAACACCTTAAAAGGAATTTGTACATAAGCCATTTCCTAGTTAGTAATGGAATTGAATGTGTTATTTACTAGCCACAGCTTCTTAACAGGCCATCAATTCCACTTTCAGAATTTGCTCAAAGGTTTCTTCAAACTTTATGGGATGCCTGTGACATTTTCACCTGCAGTTAATTGATTGTAACAATATAGTGTAACTGATAACCTGGTTACCTACTATTTGTCCTCTACACTTCAATCTAATAGACAACCCTGTTTAAAGATGATGCAACCACAAAAGAATAAGTTTGCAATAATTTTAGAATTACTTTATAAGTAGAAATGTTCGGCCAGTTACATTCACTAACCTAACCTCACAGAGCTGACTGGTTATGTTCCTTAGTAAGTGTAATCAATGAGGGGGAAGGGATGGGGGGGGGGGGGGCTCTTTATCATCTGTTTGTAAATTTCAAAATGTATTTTGCAGTAATGTTTAGGAAGCACTCTATTGTTACAAATAAAAAAATTCCTTCAAGTGACTGTTGGTTGCAGTTTTCTTTTTGTGGCCATATTTTCTTTCTTTACCCACAAGAACATTCAGTTTTGATGTGCCTTTCAAAGCAGTTGATAAAACACATGACATTCAAATCCCAGCAATGTATGGTGTTCTTCATATGAATCTGGTTTGATGGCCTAGTTACATATAGTACCTGGCAATGGAGCACTGTAAGTACTAGTGAGGGGGTTAAAGCTTCTACTTTTGTTGAAATAACTCGGATCTTTCTTTCTTTACTCAGTAACATATTTAACATCAATTTCTTTGTTTGTTTGTTTTTTACCACATTGATGATGATTTTCTTAGTTTAGGCAGAGGTCCTCTTTTAAAAGAACTAGTAACCCTAATTATACTCACCCATCATGGAAGACTGAAAAGTGAGTGAGAAAAAATATGAAAGATTTTCCCCATACCTCGTTCTATTCTCTACTCCGGGAAAAATTAGCAGACCGGCAGATTACCATTGATTTCAGGACAAAACCAATTTACAGTTTCCTGACAAGCTGACCCAAGTTAATTTTTTCACCCAGAATATGCAATGTTATGCACTCAGATGTTTATAAGGCAGAGTAGATGTGGGAAAACGTTAAATTTATTCAGTAAAAATGATTGAAACGATGCAAAATTCCATTCACAACTTTCTTTTATTTTCTATTACTCAATGTTTAAAATATATCTGGTACCATTTTAAAGAGTTCTCTGTTAGGTACAAATAACCATTTTACAATCATATAGTCTGTTACAAGCTTTTTAAAATTAAAGAGCACACAACCCAAAAAGCTATGAGAGCCATGATTGAACTGATGTAGAACAGGATGAAAACGAATCATCTATCAACAACTTAAAAGAAAATCATAAAGTCCAGCTTGCACTATTTTCTCACTATTTATTTAAAAGAAGAATGGTAATTTGCATGTAAGCAAACCCAACATGCACAAAAAAGTTTAAAAAGCCTAAAAATACAACATAATGTTCTCTACAAGACTTCTGGCAATGATCTTGTGACAGAACTTTCCACCCGTTGTAACCTTGTAAAAATCATGTACCCACCCAACTGCGATAACGAGAGACACTGAGGTTCTCTACCTTTCTGAATAAGTGACACAGCTACAAACGTTTAGCCAGATTGAAATCGCCTTTCACTTTGTTCTTGAATTTAGTTTATCAATTTCGGTGTTTTCCCTATTATCGTATATTTTCTGTTTTACTCAATTTTATTCTATACTATAATTTTTTAAAATTCTACTTAATTTTACACGTCGCCTAAACTTCGTATATCGAGATGTAGCTAACCTTTTCGGATTGAACGGTGATAACATAAGCCATTATTTTCAACATTTCTAAGATTTTAACTATTTTCGGAAGAACGCGAGTAAATCGCGCACGTGTGACCTTCCACTCGTGTGTGCCGATCTAAATCACTCGTCCCTTGACACATCGAGCGCAAGCCACGCGCATTATTTCACAAACATTGTCTTTTATTCCACGAGAGTATTTGAAAGTTCGCGCCTTCGACGGATGTGATCTTCCAGATGTTTGGCCTGTTCCATAAAATCTGCCTCCCAAACGAGCGTGTATCCAAAATCTGAAATAGCTTTCTTCCACTCACAGCCATGTCTCTCAATGAACCCCATTCCTCCTGTCAACACCAACGACGCCGATTTAGGAGATGAGGAGCTATGCGTGTCCGCGAGACAGCGTACTGCGGACACGTGACGGTGGATCAACTTCAGAGGCTTCCGCGTCGAAGGGTCTACGAGAACCACGTGACCAGTGCCCAGCCCAACCCAGAGCGTCTTGTGCGAAAGAAGAAGACTAAGCACTCGTGTTTCCCGTAAGTTGCCTGTAAACCCAGCGTCTCTGAGAATTGTCAAACAGTCAACGGAGCCAAGAAACTTAGCCTTGAAGAAATTCCAGCATTCCACCACTGGACTATCCCGAGTTGAGATCCAAACGAACGACGCGCCCACGGCGATGTTTAACACGAGACCCTTAGCCCTGTTTTCGGCGGCCCACCGGCGCTCAATGTCGATAATTACCTTGCTGCTGTCTCCTTCATTCACCTTTGCCTCTCCGTTCTCTTTGACTTTGAGCACCACTACTTCATTACCGCATCCGCAAAACAACCTCCTCTTGCCAACAGCCATACAGGCGACAGGATGAGTTACGCAGTCTCCACAGGACGTACCTTTGAGGATTTTGCTGTAACATAGGTCAAAATATGTTGGACTGGTGTCTTCTACTCTTAAACTACAGCTGTTATACACAGCTAGCTGACCATTACTGAGTCCCGCCAACACTACATTCACTTTGTCGTCTTTGTATGGTTTAAGGCAGAGAATGGCATGAGGCAACTGAGGCTGGGAGAACAGGCGCTTATGGTCCCAGGCGTTGAACACCCATATCTTTCCGGACTGAGTTCCAGCCAGAACAGTGTCGCTATCCACTGCTAGGATGCTCATAACCCGTTTGTCTTGAATCAAAGTACCTGTGCAGCCCTAAAAAAAAACGAAGATAGTGCGGCAATTGTTACTTTATGACGGAACTGCACAGTGGAAATACACATTATACGACAGATGTTTACACTTGAAATGACATTTAAAGATCGAAATAGTTTTCAAAATTAACAAAAATATATCTCTTTGGCAATTTGTAATTTAGAGTTGACAACTGAGTTGAAAACGTAAATTAGCCACCGTAGAGTTTAAAAGCTCACGTTTCGAGCGTTAACTCTTCTATCGCTCTAACAAAGGACTAACGCTCGAAACGTCAGCCTTCGAACTCTTTACGGTGGTTAATTTGCGTTTCCAACTCAATTGTTAACACTAAATTACCTTATATTAAAGTTCACACGGCAACCAGGTGGATAATCAGACATAGTTTGATGCTACTCTGGTTTGCAGATTTAATGAATGTAACCGAAGAAGTTATAATTCATAGACCCAACGTTTCGACACTCCTGTCTAGTGCCTTCATCAGGAGTGATCTAAACGCTGCAACAAGAAGCCCTTTTATATGATCACTAATTAGCGGCCATTTTTAAGGGTTAAACCCTTTTTCTGGAAACGATACATCGATGATGTTATTTCTGCGGTATCCGGAAATGAGATTTGAATTCAGTAGCATCAAAAGCGTGAAAAGGATAGACATTTGCCCTTTCTTGATTTAAATGTGTCCAGAGGGGTTGTTTTAGAGACAAGTGTCTACCGTAAACCTACCCACACCGACAAATAACTCGCATTCTCACCACCCTATTTGCCATAAAAAGTCTATACCAAAACTTTACTTAGAGGGCTGACTGTCTACCATCTTCACGATTCGAAGGCTGAGGAGAGGAAATATGTTTCCAATGTCCTAAAGGCAAATGGCTATACAAAAACTTTTCTCCGTAACTGCCAAAAACCAGTTACAAATAGTAACGCTTTCGATGAAAGGGAACCAGCGACTGGTTTTGCTGTTATTCCTTACATACTGGGTGTTACGGAACCCATTAATAATGGCAAATTAGTATCAAGAATTTACTCTCTATTCAAGTTAGAACAAAAATATTGATACATGAACCACATGGGAAATTACAGTGATTTACCGAGGGTTTTCATGCGGCTCCTATTTCAATATTTCGGTTAGTAGTTCATATGGAAAATATTGGCATGTTAAAAATCAAAACTCGATTACGGTGGGAATTCTTCAGTATGGATATCAGCCGGCTGCATTTTTTGACACAGCTTGAAAGAATACCCTGCTCTCGGCAACTCACGACGAGGTTGGGTGTTATACAACGACCAAACTATTCTGATAACGAGAACGCACAACGCTTATTTTCAGGTTATACAATAGAGATATCGTAAATTTCTTACCTCTACACCCTTTTCAGAGAGGTCGATAATGGTCACCTGGCCACTGAGGTCATCTGACTGTCCACCACCTACCCACACCTCCAGTTTGGGCGTGTTATTTTCGGTAAAGTGACGGATGGTCATGCACTCTACCGCCTTTCCCTTAGACACCGCTATGTCACGTTTTAGACAGATCAGCTCGGGGTCACACAGACGTGAGTAGGCCTAGAGAGAGAAACAAAACATGAAGAACGACGAACGGTTGTAGTGACTCACTTTTGCACAACTAAATCCTTAAACAAAAACTAGCGTAATGTAACCGAAAAGTTCTAAGACAACGGTGTAAATGATGACAAAACCAGAAAAAAAAAACAATCATATAAAACAGTTACAACTTTTCTTTCACCTGAACAGCTGTAACTCGCCTACTTGGCGAAGGCTCCAGGGCATGCGCAATAAGGTCTGCAAAATCAGGCCATGGAGGGCAGTGAGATGCCGTGATAGGATCCAATGCTCGACCCTTCAACACGGCCGCATCCAGCTCGTGCCGGAAGCGCAAGTCTTCAAATGGTTTGGTTCCTCCGGTTACAAGCTCGTAAAGGAACATTCCAAACGAGTACAAATCGGCTTCCAAGTTGTAAGTGACGTCACCTCGGGCAATTTCGGGTGCTCGGTAACCAGGCGTCCCTTCAGAGGCAGTTAATCCGCACCGTGTTGCGTATCGAGCGACCCCATAATCACATATCTTAGCGTTGATCAAATTTGCAACGGACAGCGAGAAGATGAGGATGTTGTTCGGCTTTAAATCACGGTACACGATCATGTGATGATGCAAAAACACCAAACCTTCGGCTACCTGAAATAAAGTACGTGTTTGAGTTAATTGGTTTTGTAAGAGTTACTTCAGTAAGTGCTAATGTGCAACTTAAATAGGGCTGCAGGTAAAGTCTGCATACCAAGCAAGTGGCCCATTCAGCCAGAGCATTCTGTAAACTTCCCCTAACAGTCAGCTTGTACCCATTTATACGCCAGGACGAAGAGAGACACTGTGAGGGTAAAATGCCTTGCCCAAGAACACAACACAATGACCTTGCTACCTCTAGACCTGGGATCCAGCGCGCCAACTGTTAATACTTGATTTAAAGACAGAAGGAAAGGAAGAAGGTATAGCAAGGTGACCCACCAACCTGTAGTGCAATTCTGTGCTGAATTCCTCTGCTAAGTGCCTGCCCGTTGCTCAGAAGTGAACCCAGACATCCCATAGGCGCTATCTCCATTATTAAGGACCATGGCTTCATGCAAACCCCCACCATAGTAATGATGCTCAAATGGTGAAGCTTACGTAAGAAAATCAGTTCTTGACGAAGTAACGTATGAGGATTGTTCTCACTACTAGGATGAAACACCTGTAAAAATAAGGTAAAATAGCATTATCTTTAAAAATTCTTAGAGATAAAAGTGGTTCCTTTGGAGGTCTTAAGATAATAATTTGCCGAAAGAGAAGTGAATGATGTCGAAATGTATTGCATAAAACCCCCAGTGCCTGAGATTCATCGAGAAAACCCACGGCGGTCAACTGGTCCTTAAATAATGTGGTAAGGTTGCGCGGGGCAATCTATGACGACATCGTGGACCTATTAGAGTATGCAAATCTCCATTATCACCAAAGCACTCCGATTTAAAACACTGAAGCCAACTTGAGATCTATAACTCTCTACTTGAGTTAACAAAAATTTCCAAACCTTAGCAGCGACAGGCTTGCCGTTATAACGAGCTCTGTAGACATTTCCAAATGCGCCATCACCAAGAAGCCTAGCTCGCTTAATGTCCAACTCCAGTTTACTTCCATCAATCCTGTACTGATCGCCGATATCCTCCATCACAACATCGGGAGCTATCTGGCCCAAGGCAACCAGCAATTTTGTGTTGGGGCACATGACGTACTCATTTTCACTCGCTTGTGCTATAGCGTTGAGTGAAAATTCGTGGGCCTTCTCGCCCTTGCACACAGGGCACACAGCCTCCTTTTGGACAAGTGGTGAGCCTTCAGGATCCAATTTACCTGCAGAAACATCACATAAAATTTTTCATTACAAGCATGTGTCGGTAACCATTTTACGAACGACACGAACGATTTTCGACTGAGTTTCTTTTTATCACAAATAAAGTAACAACGACGACAAAGAAAGTGGTAGAGGGAATCATTGAAATCCCGAAGCTGGCAATGAGATGACGGCAAATGCAGTAAACACAACTGGCCAAGTCACGAATATTTTAAGTTGAACACCCTATGGTTGAGGAGGTGGAGCTAGATTTTTCACAACACCTCGAAAGTATGTGTTTTGATGCATGCAAGTATTAAAAGCGAGCAGGACTGGGCAGTTCTTACACAAGATTCCGCCTCTAAGTTCTTTACATTTTGCCAAATGATATCGAACTTGAGTCTTCCGTCAAAAAGTTTGTTAAAAAAGAAACTTTTTGAAAACTAAAGCCGAATCCGGAATATGTCAATTTCACTTATAACTCGTTTACACGCAATTAAATTTTATTTACACGAATTAGGTGTTTATATACTTCTTCCATTGGTTTAGTTTTTCAGTTTAGGATGAATGTAGAACTACTCCGTACAAAATCTATCATTAAACCGCTATTATAACATTATCATTGTTATCATTATTATTATTATTAGTGTTATTGTTATTATTATTATTATTATTATTATTATTATTGGTGTTATTATCATCCTTATCCTTATCCGTATTATTATCCTTTTCATCACTATTAATATTATCATAAATATCATTAGTATGTACCACACAGGTGAATAGTGCTCTTCGCGCACGCTGATTGGTTAGTGATGGCAAGTGCTTTTCACTTCTGAGCTGCCGATTAGCCAACATCGCGCTTCAAGAGTTAAATTTCCGAACATATTTTGGTATATTGAAAGAAATACAGTAATCTTTTTGGTATCTGTACGGTATAAACTAAAACAATTATTCACCTGGGTGTCGGAGAAAGTGGTGGATATTTACCTCACCGCAAATAGCCACCACCATTCACCTCCACTTCAGTGAATAATTGTTAATTATTAATAGCATTATTATTATCGTCATTACTAACACAAGTCAGGGAACCATTCCTCTAATAGAGTGTCCAAATGATCCACCACATGGGCAAGGATTCTGGCTCCGTGCGTTGTGCTCGGCGCTGTGATCATCACGGTGTCTCTGTGGGGACTGGTCAAATCTTGACAGATCAAACAGAATGCTTGGTCTGCCCAGTATAAATAAACTCCTGAATTCCATTGTGTCACTTGAGGTTCACGAGGGCTTTCCATTCGCACTCTGTGGTCCATATACAAATTCACAACAAACGTCTGGACCCTGGTAAGAAGCCGCGGCCAGAAACTTGGAGGTACATAGGCCATTTTGTACAAGCGACTAACGAGGACGATTCCCTCAAAATGAGGAATTTTGAGCGATGGTTGTTTATTGCTCAGCAAGGATGGCAAAATGTATCTGTCATCTCTGAGAGGAAGAGCGATCCAGTAATGTTCAAGAAGCCTGAAAGAGAGAGATATTGCAAATATTATACAAGCTGAAAAGCATAAATTTTCCCGATAATTTAGGGAAGAAGCAAAATTAACATTTATTTTATTCAAGTTTTTTTACATTAAAGATGTGATATAAATATACCAACAGCCCCATTTGACGTGCAAAAGGTAGGGAAGTATGGCATAAAACTTGATACATAAGCATAATCCACCGTTAACATGCCACTTACTTAAGTATCTGAGGCATGAGATCAGACGTCACGTTCACTTCACCACTTCCCTCTCGAACTAGATTCTCAAGCTCCGCCAATCTAATGATCCCATCGACACTTTCGACATCCTTTTGTGTAACCACGTGGGCTAACAGCTGGTAAACCCACACGGGAACAACAAAGAGGAGATCATTCAACCGGCAAGCTGGATCATCAATATGAATGAGCACTCCTACAAGGAAAAAAAAAAAACAGAAATGTTAAGTATTCCAAGCCAATCTTTTCCGCACTTGACCATTCTTGTCCTCCTAAAAATGTCATAAATATCATTTACTGTAGGTTAAGGATCCCCGTTCTTTCCCCGTCGATTTATGGCCCGCCCTTAGATGACCGAAATTTATAGACAAGAGTACAAAAGTTCAATGAGTGCTCCTAACCGCCCAGCGATTCGAACACGAAAAGTTAACTGTGACAGTCCAACTAATAGCAACAAAACGATAGTCCTGATTATCTTAAAAAAAAAAAAAAAAAAACCTCACGGAATTAAAAATTCAGGAAACAAACAGCTGTAGAGATTATTAACATTCAAATCTTACAAGCAGAAGTACTCTGAATTGCTATAGAGATGCAAAGGTTTCGTGGTTATATCTCACGCCAATTTAAGTTCTATTTCTGTCCAAATCCCACGCAATGCTATGCACGCACCTGCTTCACTTAAGAACTTGATAGCTTGTTCGATCTCAGCATCATCCGTGCGTATTTCGCTGTCTTGAATGAGTTTCCGGATGTTAGCCATTGTCAAAATTCTTCGCGCGTCTCCGGTACGGATGTAACGCTGTACCAAATCCTGCAGCTTCACGAAGTTCTGAGGCACTGTAGGACCAATCAAAGAAGAACCTTTGCACGTAGATTTTGTTATAAGTTGCACGATATTCGTACGGAGAGACTTAATTCCTGGTGTGTCTTTAGTGCAGTCCAACACCACGATGCTTTTGATCTGAGGAAAGCCAGCACCAGCACACATACTAAGGGCTCTTTCTGTAACCGCTTGGAATACCTCCGTTTCTCGATCCTTCGGTACCTTGTCCTTGTGAGTACCAACGAGCATGACCGATGCCTCAGGTGCACAAGCATGTATGTTGAGCAACCAGGGCTTAAGAGCATCAATCTCACCCGTTCCTTTGCTAACATCAAAAACAACAAGAAACAAAGTCCTTGACGACAGAAGGCACTGATAGGCGCTGTATAAGTCATCCCGACCCCTAAGATCCCATGTGCTGAAGACATAATCCACACTTTTGCGATGACACTCCTTGCACTCAGCTTTGGGATCTCTCACGCACCATTCCCCCATCATGACATCGTGATGTGGACCTGTAGCACTGCGTTCTCGTAACAGGCTAAGCAAGGCTGTCTTTCCTCGTCCTGCCTGTCCAACAACTACTAGCTTCATGCGGTAATATGGTACTGAGTTCTTAAGCTTGGAGTGCAAGAACCCAATGAGCTCTTGAGCTCTGCTTTCCAGAATACCTGAATTAAGATCAAGCTTAAGATCAAACAGCTGCAAATCCCACAGATTGGATAATCTTCCCATTTCATCCGGCAGATGCGTGATGCCGGTATTTCGACTCAAATCGAGCGAAGTCAAGGATGTCAATTCACCGATTCCATCAGGTACTTGCTTTAAACAATTGTCACTCAAGATCAGTCTTTCAAGATATGACCAATTCTCAACACCCTCCAGCGACAACTTCCTAATCTTGTTGTCAGCCAGCACAAGTTCTTTCAATTGCCGGGTGGACCAAGCAATGGGAGCTGGGATGTCTTCAAGATTGTTGCTGGAAAGGTCCAAAATCTTCAAATTGGGAAGTTTAAGAAAAAATCGACAAATCGAAAACTGTTTCTTTGTTGACATTTCCCCTAGCTTGTTTTTGTTCAACCGAACTGTTTTCAAATTCTTCAAAGATGGGGCAGCAGCCTCAGGTAATGCTGAGAGAATATTGCTTGAAGCCAATAGAGTTTCGAGAGCAGAACTGTCTGCAAAGAATTCGGGCGGAATCTCTGACAGCTGATTATTTGACAAGTCCAGTGTTTTAAGCTGCGGCAGGTTCAGAGAACAATCGGGTAGCGTCTTTATGCTATTGCCCGACACATACAAGCTTGTTAAGCCAGGAAATAGCTCCCCTAGCCTCTCAGGAAAGCAAGTTTCTCCGTTGTACGACAAGTTCAAGTCTTCCAACATCATACTGTTTGATCCACGGAGCGAAGGATAAGATTTCATCTCGATTTTGTTGTGCGACAAGTTCAGTACTTTCACCCTGCTCGACTCATGGACAAAGCAGAAGGGAAAATCTTTAAACTCATTATGACTCAAATTCACGTATTTCAAAACAGGCATAGCATCACAGAGGGGAGGAGGAAAGCGTTCCAGGTGGTTATGACTTAGATCCAACCTTTCAACCTTTGCTAAATGAGCGAGAAATAGCGAGGATGCATCTGCCAGAGGATCAATGCTAACAATGTTGTTACTGGAAGCATCAATAGAAAGCACGGTTGCGCTGGCAGATACGGCTCTGATTGACTCTCTTCGCTTTCTTCGTTCTTCAAACGTTTTCCCGGTACGTCTTTCACTAATTACGTAATGTGATAATTTTCCACTTTCGAACTGAAAAGGAGCACTCAGATTCCGTTCCCTATAGCTTTCCTGCACGTCCCAACTGTACACGTAGCTTCCATTTGGCATTTTGAACGTTCCTGGTTGCTGTACATCGTCTCCAGATTCTGATATAGCATCAGCCTGCTCAGGGTCGGACAAACTGCGAGAAAAATAGTCTTTTGGACTTCGCAGAGGGGGATTTACGTCGCTAGCTGAACGTCTTGTCAACACTGGACGCTGGCGATTGGGCGTGGGTTCTTCAACTGATATTTTTCGCGGACTCTTGGGTAATATGACGCAGTTATCGTCGGAGAAGGGAGACACAATGCGAGGATCATGCGAGCTGTAAGGGAAGGAAGCTCCACTAATGCTACGTGCGCGCAATGGTGGATTCTCGCTTAACTCTGGGACATCAAAATCAAGTTCGGAGTCTGAATCGGAATAATCAATTGACTCAAAGGAGAAAGAGGTATTCCCATCGAAAGAGACTGAATCGGCCTTGGGAGACTTGTTCAGCATCAAATCACTCCCTTTTCGTCTCAAGCGACTATTGAGTGAAGCTCTTCGTTCCATTGTTCTCTTGGCATCGTCGATGAACTCAGACCAACCAGCACAAAGAGCTGGGGGAGAATACTTTAAGCCCGATAGTGAAGGCGACAACCATTCTGGGCGCAAGTCACTCAGATTGAGGTTGCCAAATGCTATGATACCAGCCTCTTTGTCATGGCCGAGATGTTGTAGAAGCAGTCCTACAATGTTATTGTGTCCCATCTCGAGAGAAAGCCTCAGAGCACACTGAATGTCTGTGATTCCCTGAGTGAGTAGAAATTGTACCATTTCTTCTTTACCGTTTTTGCACGCACAGCAAAGAGGTGTGTTCTCGCCTTGACCAGCATTCACATCTGCTCCTTTCTTGATCAGACAGTTGGCTCCTTTGAGAAGGCCACCAGCACACGCTGACAACAGCATCTGTGTTTTTAGGTTGCGTTCCCAACCAAGAAACCGAATACATTCACTGGCCAAGAAAACAAGGTCTGGTTCTTCGACAAAGTGCTCCAAGATGAAGAAAAGTCTTTCGTGAGCACAGTTATTCACCAAAATTGAACTCTTTTTCTCGTCTATTTGAGCAATGACAAGCATGGCTACACAGCCTTCGGCTTGAACACCTCTGTCTTCTTGGTACTCACACATGGCCTCCAGGACAGCAGAGACTGCCATTTGACAATGTTCATCAGACAGCAAGGGAGCCAGCACTTGAATAAGAATGCACCCCTTTTGTTGTATGGCTGGTTCGTTCAGATGTTTCATCATCGCATCAAAAATAATTTTTACACCACCATACTCTGAAGTTACGAGGAGATGTGGAACTTCTTCAGCAGCACAAAGCACACCTAGGCAAAAAAGAAATAGCACTTAGAGGGGGTAAGAGAGGGGTAGGACGCGGCTTGCGCATGAGCACTGTGAACCAAATAACCTGAAAATAAAATTTTGGTCTTCTTCTGTTTAAGTTTTCAGCCTTTTAAGTTGAGTTTGGCACAATACGTAAACTCCCGCGATTTTTCCACCAGAAAGGCTTAGATTTTTCTCATATCAATGATATTCATTGGGTGTTAACTAAACCAATATGCCTTTTCTACGATTTAATATCTCCAAGTCTACGACCAGTAATGCAAGCTGGAAAAGGATAAAAACAAATTTCGGCTGTCTCTTTCGTAGAGTGTTCGTTCTTCCATAGAGTATAAGGAGTCAAAGGTATATATCTCAAGAAGAAACACTGGAAGAAAACAATTTTCCAGTACAAATTCTTTTCTAATTCAAGGATACACCGAGCGACACGTCGATCAGTTATTGCAAACTTACTGCTCGATATTCAGGTCGCAGTATGGCTTGCAACTTAAAGCTGACCCATTCCAGCATAGCTGTCACCTCAAAGTCACTTTCTCATATAAGATTTATATAAACAATCATAGGTACTGATCCTTTGCATCAAACAATTTCAAAATTATTTCAAACACAGCTGTCCTCCCTAGAGAACTATCATGTTTGTATGTGGCTATGCTAAGGACACTAATATAAGGCTGTACTGACAGACAAAAACACTCACCCAAAGCTTCCAATGAGATCTCACAAAGAGAAATCTGATCTGGGAAGGAGTTCATTGCATTCAAAATCGTTCCATGAATCCCTTCAATAGCACTTTGATGCAAAACAAGCTCAACATCTGTTGCTAAGCATGCAATCAATGCTATGGCTTCTTGTTGGACGTCAATCTTATCCCTAAATCTGCATGGACAAAACCAAAGTTTAAAAGAACATACTCCATAAGGCACTTTTCAATAGACAGATGACTGTTGAAAACGGTTGCATAGCGATGGAAATGCAATATTTCATCATGCTAAGGATACATATCACAGCAAGCTACTGGAAACCCTGAGTATATGATAACTTATGATAATTTATAATTTACATGAGTCATGCAGGCATTTTGATTGGTTCTTAATTGTAATTGATTGGAGAACAGACGCATAGATGATGGCACCATTAACAACAATTTTGCTTTTTTGAGTGACTAGCATCTAATTTCTCCTTACCATATCACCCCTGAATCAAACATGAAAGTCATGAGAATAGAGGTGATGATCACCCACTAAAGCAACTCTTGACTGTTACTCAAATTCTCCTTGTCAGCCTCTTTGAAAATGTATGGAGAACAGTATGGAGAATATACATACTGATGTTAGGTGGTAAAGGGTTAATAGATCACAGAAGACCTAATAATATAAAAAGAACATCAATGGTGCACTGGGCTTTGTGCCACCTTTTTGTTCTTATCACATTTTGAGGTCACCTGTGATTTATTAGTGAACAGAAGCATTGCAACATTTAATTGTTGACTACATCCTTTATAGCAGGCTCAAGTGTAGAAAAATGTTGTATCTAAACCATGATTGGTTTTAGCCTTAAACCTGTTTGATTGTTTAGGTTGAGAAGAATAATACAGCACTGCTGAATGCTCAACACTGCAGCACAGAAATGTTTTTTCCAAAGTTTGCTGTTATTTTAAGTAACTACTATATCAGAATCTAATTTCATTACCCTTGTTTGCTGCTTACCTCCAAGTGCAGTCAAAGATCAGCTCTAGAACTCCACAGTTTATCATGAGTTCTTTGTTATGAAACCCAGATAAAGACAATCCCCTCAGCCCTCTGCAGCCCCACATTTGCACTCCTGATTCTTTCTTGTGTTGTTTCATTGCATGGATAATGTTCAAGTACAACCCTTTGGACATCAAAGACTGAAAAATGATATTTTTCATCAATTAAAGGACTTAGTGCTTTTAAAGTATAACTCTTAAATCATAACTTAACCACAAGAATATGTTAATTAATCATAAAGAGCTTTATGATCATAAATAATGGTAATTCAACTAAGTGGAGTGCAATTTGGGCTGAAATAATAAGCGTGATTCAAAATCAAACGAGTGCGCAGCACGAGTTCAATTTGAAATCACAAGTATGATTTCAGACCAAAATTGCATGACAGGAGGTTCAATTACCACTTTACTACATCCATTTTGAAATCACCCAAATACAGGACTTGGTCAGTTCAAATATTTTATCAATGCAATACTGAGCCAGACTGAAGTTAAATTCATCCATTTTTGGGGGGGAAAAGTAAGTTTTTGAAACAAAAGTTGCAAAATTTGCCACATGATACCCTTTGTCTTTCATTTTCCTGCAATTTGATCAGTTACTTTAAACAAGCCTTGAAATCTGATTGGTTGTTTTGTTTTAGTATAGCCTCCTCATTGGCTGGGAAAAAATGAGATTTAAGGCAAAAAATAGTGCAATTCATGAATAAATTGCATCAATTAGAGCCAATCAGATTACAGGGACCACCAGAGATTTCAAAATGGGTGTAATAAAGTGATGATCAAGTATTAATTAAAAGTATGAACTGATTTAAAGTGCTCTTGTAAGCCTTAACTTTGTACAGAGAAAACATGACTTTTGATCTCTTTCATCTTACCTCCCTTAGTGGATTTGACATACTGACCATGGTTGCCAAAACTCTACATGCTGACTCACATAGCTCTAAGTTATCTGCATGCAACATCAAGACAGCCATGCAACAATTGTGTACAGGAAGGGCATTGCCATGTGCTTCTTCTCCTATTTCAGTCAAGACATTGGGACAGAAGTCAATCAACTCTTGCAAAGCATGACAGGCCGCAATTAAGACCTCTGGTTTATCGTAGTGGCTTGTCATAGCATTTAATACTTGATGCGTCCACCTGTAGTCCTGTAATCCTAAAGAAGAGCATATAATTGGACTTGATTGTACATCTCAAAATTATAGAGCAAAAATAGGGGATCACTCCTTATCTATTTTTTGAGGGGGGGTTGGGGTGGAGTATTTTGGGGTGGATTACATGGTTTTCAGGGGTACTGAAGGGAGGATCAGTAACCAAAGGAGTGTAAAGGGGTGACTATAGGAAATTGACTGCCAATTAACTGCCAGCAAAAGGTGGAGGGGAAGATAACAACATCACAGAGCCTTATGGAGAGATCAGTAAATTGTATTTTTTCAACCCTAAAAAAACCTCCAACTCCTTCCACAACGATAATAATGACCTAGAGGTTCTCTGATTGGCTCTTCAGGGAAGTTAGGGAGGTAGTGTGTTGTTGAGACAATAAACCCCTGACCCTATTAGTAACAAAACGAGTTCCTCATCAAGTTGAAAGACTCTTAAGGATTTTTGCAAACAGACCTCCCAATGCAAATGTCTAGCATATTCAGACAGAATATTTAGAATTGATCCAAATGAAATTGTTAGCAGCATATTTTCAGACTGCAAATTGTTAGCACCAAAGTTATGTTTAGACCTCTTGTTTTGAAAGATACCCTGTTGAAGATACTAAATAGTGAAATTGAAGACCACAATACTCAAGACCTTTAAAACCATTCCCCGTTTGTGGCTCAGGGAGATATGATGAAATACCATATCATAATATCATAATACCTAATCCTATCCAGGGAGACTGGTAATACCCTAGTCATTTCGAGCTTAGATGCCCATGTGATCAGAGGTTCTATCAGAATGAATTGTCTTACACAAAAACACAACATATTGACTCTTTACATGATTTATCTCATACCAATCATGTTGGAGTGCAGTGTTATAAATCATTATTCATCTAACCTACAATTGTTGCTCCTATTAACTTTCAAGTAATGGAATATTGATTTGTGTGCTCTCACTGTGTTGAATAAAAGCTTCATAAAATACTTCACTGACCATCTTGCAGTTTATTGTCCAGTTCTTCTGTGAGGAGAGCCAAAGCAGTCAAGCCATTTTTCTGAACCTCCATGCAATCCTTAAACTGTCGTAATGCCCTCAGAATAACCATTAAAACAACATTTTGCTGAACTAGAATTGCTCTGTGAGGCTCCAAGGCTGCCAAAAGTACAAGTAGTCGGCATCCCACTGCTTGAACTCCACCACAATCACAGTGTTTCTTCATTGCTTCCAAGGCAACCATAAATGTTCTTCCATGTACAAGAGCCTGGCAGTTCTTGTTTGAAGATGCTAGAACACACATCAGCTGAATACCTTGCTCTTGGATCTCTCCTTTAAAGCAAAACACAAAATGCCTTTAAGTTTAGAATCATGAATGATCAATTAAGCGACAATCAGCAACAAAATTAGGTGACACATCATACTTGAAGAGTCCTATTTATGTTTAGAATAACACTCTTGTCTCTACCACATTCTAAATCATTGACAAAACTCTCCCCCTCCTCCACTGCATATCCTTAAGGTTTAGAGAATCCTGATACAGCATTGTCTTGAGGGGAGAGGGTAAATACTGTACATAGGCTAAATTAACAAGGGCAAAAGAGATAAAATTAAAATAATAATTAAAAACTCTTGCTGTCTGGCAACATTGCATGACAAGATTGAACACATGTTACCTAAAAACTATTGGAGTCAGTAAACATTGCATAAGGAAACTAAACACATGTCGTTTTAAGACATTTGCAGTTGACATCGCATGAAAAGACACTCGGTTGTTGACGTATCAAATTAATTTTTATAGATTGGAGCTCCAATGTGCAATAGTTTGCGGAATATTTAGAGTCAATCTGTCTTACCTGACTTCGCGAATTTCTCCATAGTTTCCACAACAATGCGATACTTTTTTCGGGGAGGCTTTTTCTCCTCCTTGTGAACAAAATTCTCTTGTGCAGACGGATCGTCTTTCAGTAATTGTGTTAGGGCTTCAAAAGCAGGAATATAAAATTCTTCATCCTCTCCGAAATAGCTAATAGCAGAAACAACAAAATCTACGGCGCGTTTGTCCAAAGCATCGCTTCTCATTCCTGTGGAAGTGCACAGTGCAGACAACATTTTACAGCCTATAACTTGACACATTTTGTCACCATGATGTTTCATCATTTTTAAAATATCTCTGTGAGCTTGCCTTTCTTGTAGCTCAGATCGAACACGCGGATTAAGTTCCACGAACCTGTGTAGTACAAAACAGGTATGAAGTTGAATTTTGTGGCTTGTTTCGTGGGAACGCATTACGTCCAGCACAGTGAGGTGAGCTTGTTTCTTTACAAGGAGCTCAGCGTCTATGTCGACTTCGTCATCCAAACTGTCTGCGAGCAAATGCATGCAGTTCTCCACTTCAGCTTCGTTGGAATTATTCTTGACACATGCAAGTAACTTGAGTAACTCTTGGATACCCTCCTGAAGTAATTCCTCCTCCTCCAAGGCCATGGTAGACTTAGACTCGCCAGGCAAACTTTCGATTAGCCTAATCCCCTCACAGAACGATGTGTCTGGATAGAACACATCCATTTGAAATCCTCTGGGAATCTGAACTCACTTGTCTACACAGCAGATTTAATATGACGTTGACACGGTATCAATTTTAGAATGACATCATGTTCCTTAGTTTTGACACCATTACCGAAAAGAGTCCTGCAATAACAATCGATTCAACCTCCAATTTCCATGGCGTTGTAATTCGATCTTAACTCAAGAAATACCATGGCATGTGATCCTCAAATGACCGCAGATAACGAATGGTTGCAGTTTTAGAGTGATCGTATTTGAAGACTGGGGTCAAGGTGTTAAATTTCCTTTCCAGAGGTTAATATGACCCTCTAGCCTTCCTTCCTTCGAGAAGATGGCCAGTTAATTATTCCTAAATGACGACCGGAAATGAAAATCCTGGATAAATTCAGCTAGATATTGTTCATCCGTTGAGAATCAGTGGTACTCTAAATACAAATGCACGAACATTTACGATATTGAGGTAAAATGTAGGCAAGAAGAACAACGAACAACATTGAATCACTAGCATGGAACACCAGGCTTGTTCGGGAATAGTGACGTCATTAAGTGCTTTCGGGAACACGAAACTGTTCCGAGTGTTTCTGATCATGTGATCCGAATCTGTCCGATCTCCCCAAAGCATAGCTTGTTCCTGAAACAGAAACAGTGATTCGTAAAGGGATTTCCCCGCTAAGTCTCATGACTGCCTCGTGTTGTGACGACACCAGAGTTTCATTCGGACCATGACTGCTATGTTGTGTTTGTATAAGGAAAAGAAAATGGTGTGTCTCATAATATTTCCTCAAGCCCCAAACACGATAATGTTTAGGAGTGCGACGGAAGAAGTAGGCCTTCGGAGGATGGGGCTTGAAGCCTAACGTTCTTCTGTTCAAAATCCTGTTGGAGCTCCAATACTCACTGCTTTTTGGCTCACTTTTCTTCCTCGAGAGCCAATGCGACGGGTTCGTCTTAATTAAAATTAATTTTATTCACCGAGGTCTACACAGTCTGAGAGGTAGCTTACTTCTCTTAAGAGACCTTAACTATTTTCCTTCCTTCGCACGACTCGCTCGCTATTTACCCACTGGTGTCGCCTTGACAGTTTTTGATTGTTCATTTGTTTTGCAAGTTGCAAGTGACGAAGTTCTTCTTAGTTTTCTGCTCTATAAAGTATCGCGATCCGAATAAAATGCGAAAGTATCTCAATGGCGACTGTTTGCACTATCAAATCGTGTTAATATCATCATGATTCTCGTGCACATCAGTTGTTAAACTGTAGGCCCTTCTCTCTCTATCAAGATTTCTATTGAGAGTATTAATATCCACCGGTGAGGGAAGTAAATTTAAGTTCAAATATACTATTTAGTTTTTTGAAGGGAAATATATCATGACACAGATATACATTGAGTGGATCGAAAGAAAAAAAGGGTAATTGTTACTGTATCCGTTTTACATATCCATGGTCTCCCATCAAATGTTTCTACCGCCATTGACATAAAGCCTACAGAAGATTCGTCTGCCTCGCGTGTTCCTCTCGCACGTTCTTTTCTAGCTTCCACGCTCTCTTTACTAGTCTGCTTCTTTTTTTAGGTGATTTTTTCTTATGCATTATTTCAAGGTAGATGGAGTGTTCTTTCATGTACTTATTTTAGGTTTCGTAAGAGTTGAATTTAAAGTTCAAGGTAAAGAAGAATGGGCCCAAGGTAAACAAGTATAGGCCCCTAGACTTTAGTGTCGCAAGTATTGAGATCTTCTGACAATTAGGCTGAATGTGAGTCAGCATTATTCTTGATAACCTTGGCTTTGACTTTCATATAATTTCTAATTTTAGCCTCATGATCGGTCAATTTCTATTCCGCCTTTACTCATTATTGATAGCAATTCTCTCTCGTCGCTAGGTCACATAGGTCGCATTATTTTGCTTATTCAGCTCTCCTAAAGATGATCTCGTGAGTAACTTGTGTGTCAACAACATCCAAGGTTGGCGAGATTCCTAAACCTAAACATTTCCTTAATCATGTTACTTTAGAAGACCAGACATAGGGATGTATTATTAGATACTTGTCATATCAGTTACATCAGTTCAGTTTGAGAACGAGGAAGTGGCATCAGAAGAATCGTGTTGAAAAGAAAAACGAGATTAAAGCCTTATGTTACAGCTCAGACTCTTGGAGCCTCTTGTAAGACTTGGTCACTCTGTCTTTCCCCGGTGTTTCAACGCTTAAAAGAATACGTCGCGATTTCTTGAATCATTTCAAAGAAATTGGACAAAACCGCCTCCGCGGCCTTCTCAGAGCTCGCGTGGCACCGATTTCTTGGTTTCTTTTATGACAATAATTGGAATAAATTTAGGGCTTGTATTGCGCCAATTAGTATAGGTAATCACATGAGGCCAAGTACTATTAAGGATTAATTGCACGAGAGTTTTCAAAATTTTCGCGACGAGGGCAATTTGGAAAATTTTGAAAACTCAAGTGCAATTAATCCTTAATAGTACGAGGTCTCATGGGATTACTTGTTTATCAATAAAGGGCAAAATTTATACGAAGGAAAATCACGCGCGCAGTCTATTTTTATCTGGGAAGCAACGGATTAGCAATGCAACGGATTAGCCAATCATTAACAGGTAATCATGCCCTCTCTTGATTACTAAAAATGCCCTCGATTAAGAAAAAAATGCCCTCTCTCTCAACCAATCAGCGCTCAGTAATTTTGCCCTTTATTGATAAACATATAAATCAAGCAAGTAAATAAACGGACTCGACTGGTGCCCAAACTGGTTGCACAGGTTTTTCGACGCGCGGAACCTGGGAATGATATCAATTTAAGATGGCGGAAGAGTTGTAAAGTGGGATGTTTGGGAATTGATAAGGGCAATGGACTCCAAGGAGGTATAGTTTTTTAATTCTCTAACGCTACATAGCATATAAGGATATTACTGTATGTTAG